GTTTATAGAAAAAGCTTGATAATTATCTGAATAATAAGGGCTGGCTTTAAGATAATTATTATTTTTTAATTATTTTAATTCAGCTTAGAGGATGGACCAATAGGTTCCATGTTGTCCCAGAACGTTATGTTATATTATCTGTGGTTCTCACACGACTTGGTGATTTCAAAATCATTATAATGCAACACACTCAACCATATGCATCATTGACATTATTATTTCAGTTCACATGGAAGCTGAACCAAGTTTCAAAGAAGTTAGGTGTCCACTGACTTTTAGAACCCATGAGATATATCTAACAGAAATATTAAATTAAAAACTTCAACCCCTAATAATAGGTTTTATCATTGCAAGTTGTAATATTGGGATCTATAGAGTTCAGATGGTAAAAAATGTTATTCTAACTATAATGTAAGTTTATCACTGTTTTCCCTCCACGTAGAAGAATTAAACTCCAAACTTCAATTTATGTTTTCAGACAGTGCCACGCTACATCAGCCTGTACGGATTTTAAATGGCTTTTCTCGATTTCTTCATTCAAGTGATACAGACAGCGTAAGTAGCTGTCAAAGTATAAAATCCCACGAAAATTGTTCACCTCCAAGTCCTCTGTTAGAGTCGTACAAAATCAGAAGCATGTCCATGGGAGATGAATTGGAAATGGACACAGATCAGAGTAAGTTGAGAATTTATTTTTGGACAGATAAGTTTAATGGCTGGTAACTTGTAACTGGATTCTTCTGCTTTGATGTTTGAACTTTATACAATCTAACGCCAATCTACGTACGAACTGCAGATGTTTTTTTTCCACATTTCTCTTAATTGTCGATGTGATTTTTATAACAGTTGGTTTCTGTAGCCTTTGGCATTTTAACCATGACCATTATTTGTTAGAAATTTGTGTGTCTGCTTATAATTAGAGAACCATTGGACCGATTATCACCAATTCTGGCAAGAACCCTTAAGGTTTGGATATAATCTCCTACACTTGTATCACACGGTACATCAGCTAGTAACTGTAAAACCTTAACAGACTTGTTTTTGTGAATTGGGACAAGACAATAAATGCAGCTTTTAAGTAAACTTAAGTGGATTCTTGATATAAAAATATTGGTAATTAAATATTTGAAAAAATTGAATTGAGTTTCATGTAATTGGTAGTTTTAAATATTTCCTATTAAACATAGAGTGAATAAAGGAAAATAAAATCAAAAGTTAGTACTTTATCTATGAAAGGGAAGTAGGAAATATTACTGTAAAACTCGGAAATCTGATATTTTATATATTGTTTTCTTATTTAACTTGATTGTGTAAAATAAAAACTTTGGTTAATTGTTAATCATTTCATTTCCCCTCAGTTGATGGATCAGCCAAACGGCTGTTCATGTCTCAAGCTGCTGATACTCATAGTTTCAAAAAGATTAGAAAACCATCCAGGTGTAGAGAATGTGATTCATATGTGTATTTCCAAGGATTTGAATGTTTGCAGGTGAGATCCATTCTGTTTATCTGTACGCTATTGTGTTGGGGAACATTTCTACAGTTCAGTGTGTTTATTTATTGTGATGCTGCTTAATTCAACACAGTTTATCTCTACGTTATTGTGATATTGTGTTGGGGAACATTTTTTACATTTCAGTGTGTTTATTTATTGTGATGCTGCTTAATTCAACACAGTTTATCTGTACGTTATTGTGATATTGTGTTGGGGAACATTTCTACAGTTCAGTGTGTTTATTTATTGTGATGCTGCTTAATTCAACACAGTTTATCTGTACGTTATTGTGATATTGTGTTGGGGAACGTTTCTACAGTTCAGTGTGTTTATTTATTGTGATGCTGCTTAATTCAACACAGTTTATCTGTACGTTATTGTGATATTGTGTTGGGGAACGTTTCTACAGTTCAGTGTGTTTATTTATTGTGATGCTGCTTAATTCAACACAGTTTATCTGTATGTTATTGTGATATTGTGTTGGGGAACGTTTCTACAGTTCAGTGTGTTTATTTATTGTGATGCTGCTTAATTCAACACAGTTTATCTGTACGTTATTGTGATATTGTGTTGGGGAACATTTCTACAGTTCAAGTGTGTTTATTTATTGTGATGCCGCTTAATTCCCTAAGTCACTAATCATATCTAGCATCTGTATTAGAAACAACTAACTACTGTGTTCCTCGGCTGCTTAATTCCCTCACTATTCAGTAACTAATCATATCTAGCATCTGTATTAGAAACAATTAACTACTGTGTTCCTCGGCTGCTTAATTCCCTCACTATTCAGTAACTAATCACATCTAGCATCTGTATTAGAAACAATTAACTACT